ATATAAATATAAATATAAATATAAATATAAATAAATATAATATATTGTTTATGAGAAGAATTACTAGCAATCGGATGTTCAAATTTTAAAAAGTAGTCACTGTTATATGATAACTTGAGAGTTTCTTTATTCTACAGCGAAGGTTTAGTTTAAGTTCAGCCTTATTACGGCGACAAAGATGAGAAGAGATTAAAAATGATAAAAGGAACGTTATAGAAAGCAAATAAAAGGACAGAAAGCATATTTATAAGATTGGATATGAGTAAAAGAAGAGAATTTTGAAAGCAGAAGTATATGAGTGAGAAGATGCAAATAATAGCTGGCAGGTAATGAATGAAGTGGTAGTGTTTGCACGACAATAGAGTGAATTTCTTTGAAAACCGAAAGTACTTCTTGTTGCTCAGAGGAATTATAAGTGTAGCTGAAAAAAGTTTTATTTTTTGGTACTCAAGTTATCCTATACTGTGCAATTAATACGTATAGTTTCTGTCAGCAGTAATTGGTACAAACGCATTTAATCTGCTGGCCGCTGCTCACTGTTTAGGTTTTAAAAGTGTGAAATATAGAATTTGGTCTTCTCATTTCCGAAAGAAATAGAGTGCATATGCAGCAGTTTTGTACGTAGAAAGAAGACTATAAAAACCAACAATTTTGTTACATGAAATTTATTTTGGGTGTTTCCAGTCAAAAATGAACTTCTAAAACAGTTTCGTTTTGCTATCACTTTTGTGCTATTGTCGCATAGCGTATTTACAAATTCAATAACTTTTTAGCAATTTTATTGACTGTTTTTCACTGCTTGTTTTCGGAGTTTTCCTGTAAAACCTATTATCATTATCACCTACGGCTCACACCACCATTCTGCTTTTGACTTTCTCGTTCTACTCTAGGATAGAGAGAGAGCAGGAGAGTTAAACACTAAACAGAAATTGAGTAAAAACTTTTAAGAAATTGAATTAGCCAAAAAGATGTTAAAAATTAAATGGCAGGAAATGACAGGTTACCAACTACTGGCCAAGAAAAAATAATTCTCAAACAATGCTGAATAGAGGTTTGCAGGCCTGGTTTAGATGGCGTTGTTCAACGGTGTGTAAACCGTGTGCTTTGAGAGGCATACATAAAAAGATAAAGGTGTTCAAGGACATTCTTAGCCCCCTATTTAGATGGCCAAAAATACCGCTGTTGTTGCACACTCCAAATTTTGTTCGACCTCGATGCATGAATACAAAATTTTCTCTTCCTTTTTCTTTCCCTCCACTCACTCAGTCATTCACTGCACGCAGTTTTATGAACAAAGGGAATTTAGAAATTTTTACCAACTAAAAGTGCGCTCCTTCGAAAAGATACTGTTTCATTTTATAAATTTTCCCAAGCAGACACTCTCCAATAAATATCGCAGCATTTTGTATGATTAAAGTACGAACCTCAGCAGCCATCTGCAGCGACTGTTTGGTTTCTATTGGGGGGCCAGCCCTCATTGGGTGGAAAGACAGTAATAAATTGGTCGCTACTGAACTTTTAGCTTTTCGTGACAGTAGTAACCAAAAATTTGTCGAATAACAATAAACATCTATCTGGACAGATACTGGTGTGCTAAAGAATAATTCCTGATGATCAGTTATTCGTAATCATCAGAGTAGGAAAAGAAAGGGCGAAAAAAAGAAATAAAGGTTTTCATTCAAAAGCGTTACTAAAAGAAATACTTTTTTTTTTTGAAAAAAAAAAATAAAGAAAGAACTGTAATGGAAGATTCAGAACAGCCAACTCGTTGTCGGAACGAAACCGGTTGTCTGCAAAATCAGCAACATCAGTAAGTTTGCAAATGAAGGAAAGACACAACGCAGAAAACGATTTTTGAAACGAGGTTTTCTTTTGCGCCATTAGTGAAAACTGATGCACAGATTTTTACTCAAAAAAAAAAAGAAGAGCTGGAATAAAACAGGGTTTCTTAAGCTGATTCAAAGTTATCCTTTTCTTCTTCTTCAGTTGCTTAACAATTAAATTTGTAAACATTATATACAAATGTTCTTTCGCAGTCACAGTAGTATTTTAACTTAATAATTTTGGTCTTCCTCCAAAAAAAAATTTTGCTCCTTTTTTTTTCTCGCATTATTTAAAATTTGTCATTAAAACCTTGCAGTAGATAAAGATATGAAACGTTTACTATGACTTTCTACAGTTTAAAATCGTTTTTAAACAAAAAAAAAAAAGAAAAATAAGAATTTTTCCCAACCTCTCAACATTTAATAGCCATATTTGAGCATCCAAAGCGACGTGAAAGAACACAGAACTGTACTGTTTGGCAGATTGTTCACAAAACTGCGGCCAGTCATATTCACCAAAAACGATAAGGGGTTTAGACCTTTTGAAAACGTATTGTTTTCTCAGTTGTTTTAGAGTTTTCGTTTATTTTTCCTCTGTTAGAACAAACTTCTAAATAATGTGTTTGTGCAAAAAATTGACACAATAGAGCCAAGTTTACAGCATCGCTTCCTTGGTGCTATACATCTGTAAACAAACAACGACCAAATTGCACGATTTTGACACCTTGCTACGGCTGTAGCTTCAATAGGAAGGCGAACAGTTTGTTAATCGGGATCAAATAGGAAATCTTATTGTTTTCGTGTATATAAATTCAATGTAGAAGCCATTTTTCCTTTATCTTTATTCTTTTTCTTTTTTTTTGTCTTTTTCTTTTTGTGTACTTGGTGTCTTTTTTCTTTCAAGATATTTCACACATTTTTCTTGTTTAACAAGTATAGTAATTCTAAAGTAAAACAGAAAGTGGTCTGGTATATCCGGTACTACTTTTCCATCAGACAATACTCTCTCTGTATGCGGACCTTTCTCTATTGAAGTTTCCTATTTTAAATGATTTTTGTAACGGCACTAAAGCTTTTAAATAATGGTTTCATATCGTAAGTGGCTGGATATAAATGCTCAAGAATAAAACAAAAAATGACAAAAAGCCAATAACACAAGAAACTTTAATTTGTTGCAAAATTTATTAGCTAAGCACTTTTTTTACTAGACGTCTTCTAGTGTGACTTAGCACCTAGTCTATGCTAAAAATTTGAGAAATGGTAATTATTCATAGCAGGCATAGAAGGTAGAACCTAAAAACCAGTCATTCTGCTGATGTAAAGAAGATAAAAAAGCTATTGACAAAAAAGACAGATTGGTTGTCATTGTTTGGTAGTGACCTACAAAAAAAGATTTGCGAGCGTTCAAGGAAAACCCAACGTGGAAAGCAGGTTTCTACAGCTTAACTTCTAAAACAAAACTTTTTTTCGCTTCTGAAGCTTTTTTCAGCTGGCTATTTAAGGTGCTAAACTGTCAAAGAGCAATGCTACCGTGAAATAAAGTTTAAGCTATAAACTTTTAGCAATTCATACGCATTGCATACCGATTAAAGTCTGATAAGCAGTTGAGTTTTGTTTAATACTACGAATTCGATGAGCCGTAATAAAGGTTTCAGTCCTGAAATACAAAACTAAAAATTTCATCTACTGTTTATTTCAGTTCCAAAGTTTGCTATAAATCTTCTTGGGCAGAACCGCTGTTCAAGTGTTTTATGTATTGTTTAGTTTCGTCTGAAAGAATAGTGCTAAAGAATTTATTGTTCATTTCTGCTACATTGAAATATTTTTGTATGTGCTTACGTTAGCAGAGAACTATTTTTTAAGAACTTACTACATTTCATTCTGTTAACAGTTTTTGTCTCTAAATTTAATACTATCTTCTGTTGTGAGCTAACAATAAGTAGCAACATTTCATGTGTTGAATAAATGACAGTAAAATGATTACAGTTACCTGTAAAATTCAAAAAAAATTCGCATTTTTTTTTTCAAAGAGATTTCTGCTATAATCAAATATGTTTGCTGACAAGAATTTAAATCGTTTTTTTACTAAAATTAGTTCCTCTTTTCAGTTATCTGCTTTGATTGTGGGTAATCACTCAAATTTACACGATTATTTTTGAGCATGAATAATCAAAACAGGTGTATAGGGTAATTTATAATTTGACTGCTGCGTTAATGATACAGCAATGTTCAAAAAAAAAAAA